TGCAGAAGAGAAGAATGAGGGGGGATTTGATAGCTGCTTTCAACTACGTGAAAGGGGGTTCCAAAGAGGATGGATCTAGACTGTTCTCAGTGGTAGCAGATGACAGAACAAGGAGCAATGGTCTCAAGTTGCAGTGGGGGCGGTCTACGTTGGATATTAGGAAAAACTTTTTTACTAGTAAGGTGGTGAAGCACTGGAATGGGTGGTGGAATCTCCTTCTGATAGTTAAGGGTTAATGCCTCTTTTATCTGTAAAGGGTTAGGAAGTTCACCTAGCCTAGCTGACACCTGACCAGAGGAACCAAGGGGGGAATAAGATGGTTCAAAAGGAAGGAGGGAAGTTTCCTTTGTTTAGAGAGTTTATTTTCAGTTTTGACCGGAATGGAAAAGCTCCAGAAATCAGCCTCTTATCAAGTAGTGAGTATTAGTAAAGGGAATAAATAGGTTTATGTTTATTTTCTTTGTAACTTGTCTTGGGCATTAGGGGGTTAATCAAATTGGGTATTCTTTTGTGTAACTAAGTTTTTGCCAGGGAAACATCCTCTGTGTTTTGAATCTGTTGTCTGTGAGATCAGCTGGTATGCTATCTCCCAGAAGGTTTTCTTTTACCTTTCTTTTCTTTAATTAGAAGTCTTATTTTTAAGAACCTGATTGATTTTTACTTCTGTTAAGATCCAAGGGGATTGGATCTGGACTCACCAGGAATTGGTGGGGGAAAGAAGGGGGGGATGGTTAAATTCTCCTTGTGTTAAGATCCAAGGGTAGGGATCGGTGTTCACCAGAAAATTGATGAAGTCTCTCAAGGCTACCCAGGGAAAGGAGTTAGAACTTGGGAGTGGTGGCTGCAAAACCAGATCTAAACTGGTAATTCAGTTTAGGGGTTCACATGCAGGTCCCCATATCTGTACTCTAAAGTCTAGAGTGGGGGTAAAACCTATGACACCTTCCTTAGGGGTTTTTAAGGTCAGGCTTGACAAAGCCCTGGCTGGGATGATTTAGTTGAGGATTTGTCCTGCTCTGAGCTGGGGGCACCACAACAACCAAATACACAACAGGTTCGACTCGATGACCTCCTGAGGTCCTTCCAACCCTGATATTCTATGACTGGACTGGCCTGTCACCCGCTAGGGAGGAGAGCTCTGGGCCCCAGGGGCTGGGGTTGCTCCGTGTCTTATGCTGTTAGCCCAGGGCTCAGAGGAAACTGGCCCCTGTGGAAAGGCATCCAGGAGCCTGTCCCCAGGGCCGCCGGGTCTGACCCGCCACTGATGCCGCGTGGTGAGGACGGGCCCCAGGACTGAGTGACAGGGCCTGCGTCTCACGGCCTGTCTGCTTCCCACTGCAGAGCCCAGCTACCCCAAACCCAACATCTCCCTGAGACCCAGTGGGGGGGTCTCCCTGGGGAGAGCCGTGGACGTCCGGTGTTGGGGGGAACACCAGGGCGTGCGGTTCATGCTGAAAAAAGAGGGACGCCATTTCCCACCTGTGGATTCGAACGGGTTTGAGGCTGTGTTTCGCATCAGCAACGTGCGCCGGGAGGACGGCGGGAACTACAGCTGCTCCTATCAGAGCAGATCGGAGCCACTCGCCGTGTCGTACCCCAGCGACCCCGTGGAGCTGGTGGTGAGAGGTGAGGGGCCCGGCTCAGCATCCCCATTTCCAGCCCCACCCCCAGCCAGACCCTCATGGGGGCTCGGTGCCAATGGGACGCTCAGAGCCAGACTCTGCCCTGAGCCCTGACCCCGCAGAGGGGACCTCCAGCTTGGGAGCGGGGTTGGAGTCACTGGGGGGTTCCCCAGCCAGGGGGGAGCAGCAGTGACTGCAGACTCGGGGCAGGGAGTCTACTTTAATGCTGCCCCTTGTGCATAGGAACCTTGAGTCGCTATTTAATCCCGTGATCCCATCCCCTCTGTTCTCCAGGCCCAGCCCCAGGTAGTGCCCTGGCTGGAGCTGAATGAGGCAGGGGCTGCAGGAGAAGCGGTGGCTTGGTGGACACAGCGCTGGGCTGGGACCCAGGAGATCTGGCCCAGCTCCTGGCACAGCCACAGACTCTGTGTGATGGGAGCATGTCGCGGTTTTCAAAAGTGTCCTTCTTTGTGGGGGGCCTCAATCTTGGGGATCTCAGGCTGAGCGCCCACAAACCGAGATGCCCACAGTTAGTGGAGACCTCTGCAAACGCTGGCCTCAATAGCGCTGGATCCCTTGTGTTGCGGGTGCATGTAGGGCCCCCGCCATGAGCAGCGCCCTGTTGTGCCAGGCGCTGCATAAACACAGACTGAAGAGACAGTCCGGCCCCTGGGAGCTCACTGAGAAAAGTGAATCTGTCTGTGCCTCAGTTTCCCATTGTGTAGAATGGGAATAATGACCCCTTCTTGCCTCCTGGGGGTCTGACTTCCAGTGTGGAGCCCTGCACTGCCAGGTGCCAAAGACCAGCCTCTGAGTTGCTTTATGTCCAGGGCAGGCCTGACACAGTGAATTAGGCTGGGGCTACACACGGCCATATGAGGATCCCAAGAACTAGGGAGCTGTGGCTCGGTGTCTGTGGGGCTGGGAGCCCAGCTCACAAGGCTGGGATTCTGGGTGGGGGGGACTCTGGGATCTGGGAGAGAATCTCTGCCTGGGGGGCCTGGATCTGCCTGGGAGCCGGCTGGGGAGGCCGGGGCTGGGTGGATGGCCGGGTCTGGCTCTCACAGCCTGTCTCCTGTGCGCAGATCCGAACTTACCCAGACCCTCCATCTCTCTGAGCCCCACTGGGGTCACCAGCCCAGGAGCAGATGCCACCATCCAGTGTCAGGGGCAGCACCAGAACGTGACGTTCTTCCTGCACAAGGCTGGAGACCTGAACCCGCAGCAACAGATGGACCCTGCTGGGGACAGGGCCGAGTTCCACATCCCCACCGTGGGCCGGCAGCACGGAGGGAACTACAGCTGCAGCTACCGGAACCGATCAGAGCCCTTCGTCTCCTCAGAGCCCAGCGACCCCGTGCAGCTGGTGGTAGCAGGTGAGGAGCCCAGCTCGGCGTCCTTGTTCCCATCCCCACACCCAGCCAGATCCTTTGCGGGGTCTCTGCAATGATGGGACGCTCAGAGCCAGGCTCTGCCCTGAGCCCTGGGCCCAGCAGAGGGGACACCCAGCTGTGGAGCAGGGACAGAGTCACTGCGGGGTTCCCCATCCAGGGGGAGCAGCAGCCACTGGAGGTTTGGGGCAGACAGAGGGGGTTCCCTGCCTCCAGAGGGAGCTGCAGAGAAGGGGGCTTTTCCCAGGGGGATGCTCGCTGGGTTGCTCCTGTTCTTAAGACCCATAGAGGAGTTGGGGTCTGGGGGGCGCAATTGCTGTGGAAACAGGTCATGGTGCCCAGAGGTGGGTGGGGCAGCCCCAGATCCCCCCAATGCCTCCTGCTATGCAGGTCACGGCCTGGAATTTGCTGGAGTATCCTGGGGAGGGACAGGATCTGACGGCTACACTGTGAAATTGGGCCCAGCTGGGTGCCAGAGTCCTGGGGCAATAACCCCCCTTCTTGGGCCACATGACATCCCCCTGGCAATATGAGTGAGCATTTCCCAGAATTCCCTTGGTTATTGCTTCCCCTCCCCCCATTGGGGTCTATGGGGACCCCCTGACCTTCCCCCCAATAGATGTTCTGCTGCCTCTGTCTGCTCCCTAGGCCTGGGCATCACCTGAGTGTGGGGGGAGCGGTAACGTCCCAGCCTCCCCCATGCGCACTGCCTGGCTGTGTTTGGCAGCAGCCGAGATACCCCAGGGCTCGGCTCACTGCACAGCAGACAGGCCGGGGCAGAGGTACCTGCGGGGGTGGACAGAGGGATCCTATGGGGACAGGGAGCTGGGGTGGTTCCCTGTTCTGGGGGGCTAAGACCGTGAGGCTCTGATTGTCCCCATCCCCTGGCCCAGTCCTGGGGTGCCGGGTGTCTTGGGGGCAGTTCGTCCACCTGGGAGCCCCCTTCACCAGGGCAGCTGAGGCAGCAGGATGTGGCCTCCCCTTAGGGGTCTGGCCCTGGGGAGGCCCCAGAGCCGTGGCACCTGGGAGACCCCCAGAGGGGGCTGGGCTGGACCTGCTGGATGGGGGGGGGTTGGGGACTCCGCTCCCAGGGCAGCGCCAGCTGCTGATTTTCCCTGTCCAAGCGGCCAAGTGACTCTTCCCTCCCCCCCGCAGCAGCCCCCCTAGATTTCACCAACACCAACATCGTCCGCCTGGGACTGGTTGCCATGGTCCTGCTCGTCCTGGGTCTGATCCTGGCAGAGGCCTATTACAGCCGCCCAAGGGGGACCCCCTAGGTGAGGTGACCCCCCATTCTGTGCCCCTTGCTCCCCCCAGGGACTGGGCCTAGGGTGACTCGGGCTCCTCTAACCCACTGTCTCTCTGCACCCCCAGGAGGCTGGATCTGGCTGTGCAGGGAAGAGAATCTCCCAAGGGACGAGCCGCTTTCCCGTGGGGTGCTGAGACCCCGGCACAAACCTCCCTGCCCCCAAACACCCCTGCCTCAGAGAATCCTGCCCCCCAACAGCTCCTCACCTGACAACAGCTCCCCAGGATTGAACCTGTGATGCAGTGTGTGATGTTGCACTCCATATGTTTATGGAAATATGGTTGTGTAAATATAATGTAACTGGAATATGCTTTATGCAAAAGGTCTCTTGTATGGTATCATTACAAATCTTATGATCTACTGAGTGTGTTCATCCCATTTGTTTGCATGTATCTCTTTGCATGAATGTATCATTCTTGTATATAAAACTAGAAATATGAAGTTAACTCTGAGGTTCTCTTGTAATTATGTAAAGTGTGGACCATTAATGGTGGCTTAGAATCTTGATGGCACCCATTGACTAGGACAATTGGCTGTAGATGGTTTATTTACCTGCAAGCTTTCTTGTGGACCTGGGGCCAGCCTGTGGTTAATGAAGAATGAGGTCTTACAGGGACATGTGACCATGTCACATGATACTGGAATCCATCTTAAAACTAGTGCTTTTCCATTTAGAGGGAGGGGTGGGAACCCAGAGAGACAAAGGATTCCCGCCTTGTGCCAAAGATATAAAAGGGGTGGAACCGAACAAAGGCGACCAGTCATGAGGAATCCTCTAGTTACCATCTGAGCTGGAACTAAGAAGGACAGTACCAGGGAAAGGATTGGGCCCAGATTAGGAAGGAGTCTAGTCTGTGAAAGAAGCTTTTTGGAACATCTCTGAGGGTGAGAGTTACCTGTATTCAGTTTCTTAAATGTATTAGGCTTAGACTTGTGTGTTTTGTTTTATTATTACTTGAACCCACTTAAATCCTACTTTTTATACTTAATAAAATCACTTTTGTTTATTAATTGAAGCAGAGTAGGTGATTAATACCTGGGGGAGCAAACAACTGTGCATATCTCTCTATCAGTGTTATAGAGGGTGAACAATTTATGAGTTTACCCTGTATAAGCTTTACACAGAGTAAAACGGGTTTATTTGGGGTTTGGATCCCATTGAGAGATAGGAAACGTGCTGAGTGGTTTTCAGTTAAAGCCTGCAGGTTTGGGGGGCGTGGCCCAGACCCTGGGCCTATGTTGCAACAGACATAGTGTGTCTGGCTCAACAAGACAGGGTTCTGGAGTCCCAAGCTGGCAGGGAAAACGGGCTCAGAGGCACTTTCAGCACGTCAGGGGAGCGTCCCAAGGGATCTCTGTGACCGAACCCGTCACAGTCTGACTTTAACAGCAGCTGTGGCGATTCCAGCTCAGTTCCACTGGCTCCTCTGCCCCCCCTCAACCCCCAGGACAGTCGCTAGCGACTCTGAGGCCAGTGGGGAGACCCCCAAATCCAGGGGATTTTTCGGCTAGAGACTCGCTCCAGTGAACAGGGCCGGGGCTGGAACAAACCCCTCATTTCATACGGCGCCTGCCACAGCTCCCCTGGTTCCTGCTCTGCTGTGTCTGTAACAGCCGGTTCCAGGGGTCAATGTGGGCTTTGCCGTGGGGCTGAGCAGATTGCAGGCTCTGGACCCCACTCCCGGCCCATGTTTAATGCTGTTCAGTGTAGGGCAGGGACTGGGGCGTGTTCGCATCTTGGGCCCTTGACTATGTCTCCACAAACACAACAAGGCGCAGAGTGATTTAGCCGCCAGCCCATCTGGGCTCCCCCATGGCAGGCATTGGTGTGGAGCTGGAAGGAGGGAGCCAGAAGTTTGAGGGAAGTAGGTTGGGGGTGTCGGGAGGGGGGTTGAGGGCAGAGAGGCCAGGATGGGGTACAGGAGTTTGAGGGCAGACAGCCTCCTTCCAGAAGGTCAGAGCCGGGGGGCAGGATTGTTGGGGTGTCAGAGGGAGGGGGTAGCCATGAGCCCCAA